TAAAAATTAATAAATATAATTTATATCAATAAAATACTAATGATACTAAGGCCTATTAAAACTTCATATTCAGAAGTCTATTGTTATAAAAAGTGATAGAAAGGTAGAGTTATATTTTGAATTGAAAAAAGAAAAGAACATTTGAGTTTCAACAATAAATTATGATATAATTGATAATTAAATTTAGGTTTGCCCCCCTTTTTTTACCTAATAATTAGCACAATACATTACAGGTTTTCGTTTTAAAGTCAAACTTAAATTTTTTTTTCCCCAGGGCGCCCTAGCTCCGCTTCTGTTCATAAGTCAAGTCAGCAGGGTCTTGGCAGGTGGGATAAGATTGGCAAATCAAAGTCTTTGGCCCTGCCTTCTATCATCAGACACTTTATTATGGCTAAATTCCGTCTACCTCTCCCACTAAACTCTATTTCCACCGTAATGAATTAATTAACTCTTAATTGACTACTACTTCCAAAGAATTAGTAAAACAAGAAAAACATTTCTATTATAAAAATAGATTCTTAGGCAAATTATCCATAAGAACAAACTTCTACAACATAACAGGAAAATGGGAAGGAGGGTTGTTTCATTCATCCTGGTAGAAATTTAACATTCACTCCTACTGGGATAGATTTACTCACTACCCTTTCTTTCCAGCACGCAGATCTGAAAAGTAGCGCTGAGGATTTTTTTCAAACCCTGCCCTTGGTATGTATTTGCCTCCTCCGCCAGGAGCTTTCATCATACGCCCCCCTTTAGCGTTATTCCCGCTTCCCATCTGACTTATGGCCACTAGGCCCACCACTGCTGCTCCCATCGCCGCCAACACTTGCATTACAGAAGGAAATCTGCTAGAACCGTCTCCCATTTTGGAAATTGAATGTGAAAAACGTGAATATGAATGTGCTATAGAAGGACTGATGCCTTTGAGGATTATTTATAGGCAAAAAGTGGCAGATTGCTAATTGCTAATTGCTTATTTGAAGTCCATCTAATTTGCGAATAAAGCACCAATGAATGATGGTTTTAATAAGTGGAATTTAATCCATGGTCATTTCTCTTATAATAATAATAATAATGTTTGTTAATTAAATTTTTTAAAAGTTAAAAAAAAATCTCAAAATTATGTTATTTTATTAAAAATTTTAAGAATTATGTGACTACTAATAATAATAAAATAATAAGTCATATTAATTAGTCCTGATTACTAAAAATTCATTATTTATATAAAATTTAACGTTGTTAAATATATTTTAAAAAATATAAGTTTCTTAATCAAATAATTATAATTGACAATTAGATTTAAATTTTCTTTTTTTACCTAATAATTAGCTTAATATATTACTCCTGTTTTTTGTTTTAATTGAAGTTAAACTTAAATATTTTTCTCCAGGGCCGCTAGCTCCGCCCCTGTTCATAAGTCGCCAGGGTCTTGGTTAGTGGGATAATTTTGGCAAGAGTCTTTGTCCTCCTTTCTTCCATCAAACACACTTTATTATAGCCAAAGTCTTTTTACCTCTTCCATTAAATTCTATTTCCACGAAAATGAATTGTTAGCCCTTAATCAATACCATTTATTAAATCTGACTGTCATTAAGCTCCAAATTTTTTTTAAAAGAAAAATTTTAATATTACTCATCAATCAATATTATTTATTAAATTTTACTGCCATTAAAACTTAAAATATATTTAATACTATTTATTAAATTTTGTTACCATTAACATTCAAAATATATTAAGCCCAAAATTTTTTAAAAATAACATAAAATTTTAATAAGCGACAAGCACATAATCCACATTAAAGTGAAATAAGATCTATACTACCAGGGATAATAATTCGATGGTTAACATAAACCCATATTTGGAAAATATAACCACTTTGATATTATCTAAAACAACCCGAGTTGGAATCTGTTGCTGACTTAATAATTCTTTAACTTAAGATGCACTAATTCTCAAAAACTTAAATCTAAATTATTAATAATAATTAACTATACACTTATATATCACTTTTATTCATACTTCGATTCTCATATAAGATTTCTGAACGTTACAAGAATTATTAAAAATAACATTTCTATTGGAAATTATGATTTCCCTAAGGAGAATAAGCAAATAAGTCAGTCAATTGCACTCTTAATATTCAAGATAAATTATTCCTGTGGAGCTACCATCCTCTTAGAGGAGTTAATTATCCAGTGTGGCATGATAGAAAATCCCAAGTCATGGTCTACGTTAGTCGTGGAAGATGAGAAAGCAAAGGAAAGCATTCCAGATGCGATGGTGATCTGAGAAAAAAAATGTAAATAAGAATTTAAAGTTTGTCATT